AAGAATCACATTGGACCCCCCCCCCTCCCCCCCCTCACCCCCCCCTCTAAACCTCGATTCTTGTGAAAGAATCATAGTCGACCCCCCCCCCTTCCCCTCTCCAAACCTATATTTTGCTGTGAAAGAATCACGGTCGACCCCCCCCCACCCCCCCCATCCTGTGATATATCACACGATCCTTCGTTTTCAAGACCTTGACAGCCACTACTGCTAAAGCAAGACTAAACTCAAGCCTAGCTCCGCTAGTTTTCGTGATTACTACCATTGCATACTATTTCAAGTGGTGCTCCTTGTACTGGCTGTTCTTTGCAATACAATTCTTGGCATGCAATCTGCTAGTACTGTTGCTAATGGTTGCTAATTGGTACTCACGCCATCCAGCTTCTTGTGAAGAGAAAGAAATCATTATACCGCACCCACCCTGCATCTGCTGGAGGTTTGCCGACATCAAGCACACATCAAGACCTCATGATTCCCTACACAACTGCCTTTCAAGATATTAACAACGCTGAACCCTTAAATCATAAATCTAAACCCAAAGCCCTAGACCCCTACACCCCTGGCTTTCAGTGCACAGGATAGCCTGTCCTCAACCACAGGGGCTCCGTAGGGCTTGCTGCGCTCAACGAGCTTTGCATCCATGTCGAAGGCGGCGGCCCTTAGCAAGCTGCATTTGCAGCCTCTTGCAAGCCACAGGGCTTTTCGTAAGCCACAGTGTTTAGGGCAGCTGCGGCCCTCAGAAGATTGGATTTGCAAGAGAATCTAATTTGCAGCATGAAGTGGACTTCTGAACACGAAGATAACCGCGAGCAAATGATCTCAGAAAAAGGATCAATGGGTTTGAGAAGCTCGCTTGCCGGCTACCCGCGGGCTTTGGGAGGCACCGCTTATTTAATAGGAAGCTGGGACTACCTAAAAACACGCGGATGGTTTTTGAAATGTGTCAAAAACTGCTCTGTACAAACTGGAGGAAACCTGTATGTGGCCCTGCGACACATTAGGAGGCCAGTTTTTTTAAAAGGACAACCTCCAAATGATGATTCTGTGAGCAAGGCGCATGCCGAAAGGGATTCGGGTACAACTTTGTTGTCCTTCCCAAGCTTCTGTGACATTACCGAACCTACCCAAACCAGAACACTCCATGCATCCCGCCAATGCCCCCTATGCAGTCCCAAACATTCCTGCATCCTTACTCGAAGCCTAGAAGTTGAGACCTGAAGCCTAGCCCTGAACCGGATTTCTGTCCTGAGCACTGGGCGAGCCACAAAGCACAGCTTCATGGACAACTCGAATTCTATCCTGCTGCTGTCCAGGTAAAATTGTCACGAAGCAATGGCGTCACCTCTAGCCGTTCGCACTTATACAAACTCCAGGAGGTAACAAGTTTTCTTGAGGCACATTGAGCTTGCACGCCTTTTGCCTGGAAATACAAGCTGATCAGAAACCTTACAAGTAGAGGCTGTTCGATTTCTTGTCGAGCTTGTAAGCACCACAAAACTGATCCATTCCGAAACACTGCTCCACTTTTGCCGTCTCCGGCCTGAGCAAGGAAGCCCAGACCTTCCACACCTGAGTAGTCAATTCTGTGTGGCACCAAAAAAAAGAAGCGTTAATCTTACTCTGCATTAGGCGCCGTAGTATCCCTGTTCACAAAACTGCTCTCCTGAAACTGAAGTTGGGCTTTTTAACTCAAAGCCCTCTTCCCTGACGGTTGATACTTAAATCCTGCGTGACTATAGTGGTACTACAGGATGCTTAGCATGAAGATCTTGAGCATCAACAGCATGATTTGGCAAACGAGGCCTTGCTAACAAGGCCTCGCTCCAAGCATACCTTCACCCCACCGTGCTTGAACCGAGTTGCGTATCGTCAGTGGTCGTCCAATGGCGCCCGTGTATTGCTTGACTTCCTGTGCTGCACAACGCTTTGGAGTATGTTCCTTGATGAAAAGGTATTGAGCTCCCTTGAACTGGAAGTCTGGTGGTCACTTTGGCCAGCTCGCTAACGAACAGCGCTGGTCCTTCGGGCCGCGCATCACGACGTCAATCTCGCAGATTGCTAACCTGGCGCAGCTTTTGTGCTTAGCTTGAGGTAAGCCGAGGTTTCGTTTCATTTGCGCCTCGCCCGCTCAGTATTAGGCGCCCCTGACCAGAGGAACCATGAGCGCTTGGTGGATGCCATCCGTTTCGGTGTATGCAGTTAAAGAGGTAAGGCACCTATGAACACGAAGCGCGCCCCCGCAAAGCAGTTGACCGCTGTTACACCCACAGTCTGCAGGATGACGCCGCTGCTGCAGGCCTCCAAGGAGCCAAAAAAAAATCAGCTTCCAAGGGGAACTGTCGGAATGCTAAGGCTTGGACCGGGTTTCCCTCCCAGGAATTCTGCAGCCCTGCCCTCACCTGCAGGCCTGTCCTTAACACTACAAGCGAAACACACCGCCAAAGCCACCTGCAAAGCCTCGTTTTCTGGGTTTCGGGCATGGTGAAGTCTCGGTTGTCCTGAGCCCAACTGAACATTCCCTGAGATGTACGCAGTGCTTACGGGAGGCCAGCAGTGCACAAACATTCCAAGTGCTGCCCCGATGCTGTGCGGGGATATATTCGGACCTTGGCCCCCGAGCACTCATAAAGAAAGAGTGGCCATCACCATGAGGCCGTGACAACAGCCATGGGCATCACTGCCTCAAGGTCCACGCTCCACCAAGGGTTGGCCTGGGGCATACCGAAAGCTTGGGAACAAAGCTGCGTCACTCCGGTGCGCCTGCCAGTCTGTGATGGCACAGCCGCTGGAGAAGTATAAATGACTACCTCGGGGCAGATTTGCACTCTGCAAAGCCACTGCTCTAGATCATTGGACGCGCCGCCTCTCCGTGAACAAAGCTGGTGGAGAAACACAAGTCTGACAAGCGCTTCATCAAGCTTTTGCCAAAAAAAGTTTGCCACCAAGCTGCCATAATCTCCATCCACTGCCTGAACAGAAGCACGCGACATCCCAGAGACTAGCAAGGCAAAGTGTTTCCGAGGGGTGTGCGCGGTCTGCAGTGGTGAAGGCTGCCTCGATGTTGCCGTTCGACGACTGCCTCGCCTCAAGCGCTTGATGTCTTATGGAGCTCCATGGAACCTTCATGCTAAAAGTACGATACGCGTGAAGCCTTATGGCCATTGCTCCTAACCTTTGAGAGCCTCAGCCTGCTTTTCCTACTTCTTGCTGCTTGATGGGTTTGCATATGATCTATAGGAACGACGAAAAGGCCCAACTGGCTCATTCGCCACCGCCAGGCTGAAAGGACTCGCATGTGAGCTTCGAAAGCAATCGCGCCACAAATTTGCCTGAAGGAAGCGCCGCAAGAAAAGCCACTTCCCTCTCCGATTCATCAGATTGCAACGAGCGGAGGTTGCTGCATTATTAAACTCCCACGGATCTTACAGGCAGGCGAGCTGAGCCGCCGGCCGTTTTAAAAGTCGCTGGGTTTGAGGATGAACCTGCAAGGACCCCAAGGGCCCCAGTTGCATTTTTGCTGTTGGGCGGTCACGCCGTGACGTCGGAGCATGATGCGGGCGCAGAACACGTTTGACTCCATGACGGGATATGTACAATGCTGCCCACGCCAACTCACTGGAGGGGCGTCTTTGGCCTTGGATACATAACATAGCAGAATAATGGCAAGCTGGGATTGCAACACGGACTGTCCACTTGTGGTTTCAGTATATGATCAGCCTTCCATGGCTGAGCCGTTGGACAGTAGCAAAGAGAACATGCAGAAAGCACGGAATGCCACTGCAGAGGAAAGAGTGCAGTTGGACCCTCCCTGTTTGAACGTGCTGTCATATGATCCGCCCAAAGATGCAGAAACCGACATCTTTCAGGTTTCCGTATCAGTAAGCCTCAGCTGAGTTCATGCAGGAGAAACCTCCCCGGAATTGGGCCCCCGGCTCCTTCACCTGGAAAAGCTGTGGCGTGAGAGACAAACAAAGCCATGCACTGACATGTACTGAAAGGAAAACAGCCGCCTTCTGCCAAATGCCACAGCTTCTCACAGCCTTGGGCAAGTGCGTGTCTGCAGAGTGGCTTGGGAACTGTAAAACATCAAAAGGACAAATCAAGAGCCGTCATGTCCTTAGTTGGAAGAAAGAATATGGCAGCTTCCAGACTTTGCTGAGGCTCAGTGTAGCCCACACACGTCAGAAGTGCCAGCTGCACCAAGCCGTACCTCATAGAATCCAAGCACGACAACGTATTCCTACCTACGACCTAAAACACCCAAATGCCCTGCCATGACATGAACGTGGTCTGAGAACGTGTCAAATGATTGCAGCCTGCGTAACCTCTACTCCAGGTCTTGAACGATCACTTTCCAGACATTGCACTTTGTCGGAAATTCATCCGAGGAGCTGATTGCGACCTCCTTCATCGCATGCTGGCAGGACAGCTTGGCCCAGAATCCCATAAGGAACCCTTCTTCACAACCCCTTTGAAACCAGTCCTGCGGCAAGCAGTCCTCGCGCCAGGGGTGGCGCAAGGAAGCGGCTCAGCGATGTGGAGCCCAAGGCCTGACGCGCATACTGAGTAAACATGAGTAAACATTCTATCCTTGTGTCGCCCACTGCGCCATCTTTCTAGGCTACTGCCATCTGCTGCACAAAGGCCACGAGATGAAACTTCTGCGGGCTGTAGGCGCTATTGGGCGTTGCCGCCTCAGTGCAAGTAAGGCATGCTGCTAAGTCATAAGACGCTCTCGGCGCTGTGTCCTTTTGGCCAAGCCACGCGCTTCGCCCATCTTTCTGCAATGGCGCTCGCTGGCCCCGCAGTGCTCTGCAACCTCCAGAGTCAGGACAGCTTGGAAGATGCAAAGCGCCTCCTGAAAGGAATGTGGAAAAGGACCCCCAAAACACTTATGTTCCACTCCGCCATTCCCCGCTCATCTCAAGAATTCTTGCCAAGCACGGAGCAGGACGTCTCCAACCAGCAGGCCACCAGCGCCTAAGGCCTGCGTGGGGACTTTTGAGGTCTTTCAGATCTTGAGTTCATAGTTGAGTCTTCAGCGGAAAGTTGAAAATCTGTCACTGCCCGGCCTTCAGGTCAAACAGCAGAGCGCAGCCCACCAAGGAGACCACGGCACAAGTCAAAAAGACCTGTGCTTCTGCCTGGTCTTTGCCCAATTTAGGGAACAGTAAATTAGGCCAGCAGAAACCTGCACACCAAAAGCCCAGTTGCTAATCAGGGAATCGCGGAATGGATTTGCAGGGTCTGATATTAAAGCTACTTGGAGAATCCATTCACAGGGAGCTCTGCAAGGGTCATGCACGGTCAAGCAGTACACAGTTGCATGCATCCGCTGATTGCTTTCCGGGGTGCAGTTCCCTCCCTTGTTGCCATGCTGAATGGGGCCAGAAGGACCGACGCCTGGGATCGCTGCTTTCAAAAGTGGGCTTTACTTTGCCCCTCGTTTCGAATCTTCTAACGCCTGGGATGCTGTCAGAGGTGCCGAGGCCGCCAGGGAGAGGCTGAGGCCACTTGTCACGGCAGACCACCCGTAGGCCACCTCCAGAATCATCATCGTTGCGGCCTCGAGCTCAGACAGCACGCTGAGATGCAGAGAGCCACCTGCCACCGCTGCCGTGCCTCTGCACCGGCTGTGACAAAGGGCCGCACCTGTGAGGGCGTCTGGATCCATGCCGACTTCTATCATTACTGGCAGGCTGATCCAAACATGTCCTCTCCACAACCACATCAGACACGCTTGACCGTTGACCCCAAGCAAGCGGCACCAAGAAGAAGAACGACATCTGCGAGACCAGGAGTTTGCGGTCACCTGCCCCGAAGCTTGCAGCTTATGTATATACTTCTTTGTTTCCTGCCAGCCGCTAGCCACTGCATTCCATGCTTGGCAAACGGCGCCCTTTCCCTCTCTCTGTTTCTTCTTTCCTTCTTCTCCCCACACCCAGACACGCACGAACTTTGTAAGCTGCCTGAATCCATCTCGAGCTCCTTCAGCGGTACAGGTGGCGCCGGTGGGTGTTGCAGCTTCTGAGGCAGCACCTTCAGAGGCATGGGACGTTCAAAAGCAGGGTCTGAAGCCAGCAAGGTAAGTGCCGCCATAGCACCAAGCTGCAGAGCGCAGCACTCGCCAAGGACACTGAGGCCTCAGCATAGCAAGGCAGCAAGGCTAAGTCACGTACAGCAACTTTCCAGCAACCTTGCAATTTGCAATGCGGCCAACGTGCTGCGATAGCCAAGGCGTGTGGAAGGCCACGCTCCGGGGCCAACAACAGGAGCGCTGGGCCTGGGGAAAAAATATTCCTCCCTATACTTCCCGTCAACTTTCCTTGAACTTCATGTGAACTTCCTGTGCCTGCTGCGATGCCCAGGCTTCGCGAGCACTGCACCAGTGTCGTCCTCAGATGCCACCCTCAATCCATGCCTTTGCACGAAACTGTCCGCAAAGGAAGGACCCCTGCTTTAAAGAAAGGCACGAGCTGCCCGACTCACCATAGACCCTCCGCTGCATCGCGAGCGCAGGTGCCAACGCAAAAGCACCCCTGAGAATCATCCAAGATCGGGCTTGCAGCATGTCCCCCAAATAAATTGTGATGATTTTGAGGAGCATGCGGAGCATGCGAGTTGCACACAACACTTTGGAAGCCCGAGCTGCGAGAAGGCCTCGCCCTGGCGCAGGGCCAGGAGCGTCCAAAGGCCACCGGCTCCGGTGAGCGCTGACTGAGCCACGCAAGCCTCTGCGGCAAAGCGGTGCCTTCTCCCTGAGAAGTGGTCAATCCCTTCATTTCCAGAGCACCTAAAAGCCTACCTCACCAGGTCAATTGTACAGGCTCATCGCATAGTCACACCTGGGTATTGGGATGAAGTGCTCATAATCATGTAGAATGTTGTTCATTGTTCAACACTTTCAAAAACAAGCACACAGCACCTCCACCAATTGAATGGCGCTGGTGAGAAGGCCGGCCCAAACACCTCGGCAAGAGAGCACGGAAGGAAGTGGGAAGCAAAGCTCAGTCAAGCCTGTTTGGCCCAACTGTGCAGAAGCAGAAGCAAGTAGGCTAGCGCCAAAAACCCACATCTATCGATGCTCATCATAGTGCAGAGAGTGGCATAGGCGGCGTGCCGTGCTTTGATCCCAGGAAGCATCTTCAACGCCTCATGGCAGGTCACAGGAATGGAAAAAAGCCCATGGAACCCTTCTTGTAAGCGAATGTTCCCGGTGTGAACATATTCTGTTTAGCTTCACCACCACGGCAACAACAAGAAAGGCTGAATTCTGCAGCACCGTGAACAACAAAAAGTCTGACAAAATGGTTGTCCTTACCAAGGTGCAGCTCATGCCGGCCAACAAACCCAGAGCACCCCCCAGCGCTCCAGCGGAAACGAGGAAACCAGAGAGCACAGCCCCATGCCCTCAGAACGGCACAGAGCAGGCTGCAGCCGCTAGCTTTCAGCTTTCTACCCACGAGGCTTGTTTCTTGATGCTTGAAGGGGAATCAAGTCTTAATCTATCTTGTTGGTTATAATCTCCTCAAAAAAAATACTGCTCACATCCCGCGCTGCCCAGCGCAATGGCAAAGTCGAAAGCCACCGGCATTATGACCTCAGGGACTCGGACGTTCAGTGGGCGCAGCCTCTCCGAGCGAAATCCCAAACCCGCTCGCTGAAATGACGAGGAGCTGAAGAAGCCGCGAAAGTGCAGGTCCATATGGACAAGAAGACGGCCTGAGGCCAGGAGGCTGGGGGCCTGCAGACTCAAGGCCAGGTTGCCAGCGATACCCGCCCTCTAACCTCTTAGAAACGGCACCCATCCCAACGAAACCCCGTATATCCTTGCGTGGTCTCTACAAAACCTTCTCAAAAGAAACTGCACAAGCAGAGAACAGAAAAACCATTGCCAGGAGCCGCACAAAGCAAAAAACAAATCTGGAAACGACACATGTACAGCATGAACAAAAAATCTTTGAAGAGAACCCTGTGCACATATGAATACTGCATATGTTACCTCACATAATCTATATCTCAGTCCGTAAACCCAAATCCACCAGAAATCCTTACTACGAGTGCCCATGATCTTATGACCCGTGCGCATATGGTGGATGGAGGAAATTTGCAAAACCTACACAAGAAGCAATTTCCATGGCGTGACGCATCCCCACACCCGCTATTTAGCATTGACACCTGTTCTGTATGAGGCGGTGCAAGATTTCCGTCGTTGGAACACATTTGTTTCTGGTAGCGTTCAATGCCAATGTTCGGAAGAGAGTACCAGGCTGCAAGAAATCTACGTTTTAAAGCGAAAGATTTCCTCCATCCACAGTCCCTCAAATGGGGCTTAGCCCGGATGGCAATTTCAATAGTAAACTCCGCAACCTCCTTTTTTTCTCAGAAAGGTCTTGCGGCGACGCTAAGCGGAGACAGACATTATCAGTCAGAAAGACGCTGCAAAGGTACCGCATTGGCGCGGGTTTCTACAGCATGTTGGCTGTCTTGAG